CAGCCACCCTATCTACTGTAGGATACTAGCTACTGTATTGGTCTGCAAAACTCTAAATGACCCCAAATTATTTCACCCTGGCTTTAGAATACTTTTCAAAATACCGTTTGTAAGTTCTAAGTTTCCATTTTCTCCCACTCAGGAGAAACAATGAACTTCCTTTCCCTAACGGCACTTTCACTTGCACAGAAGAAACTACTCTAGGATGAATTGGGGGTAAAGGCCAGTGAGGTGGGATTAAGTCCCATCAGCTAAAGCCTCTAGACCAGATTCCATTCCTCCGACCTAGAAAAAAGGCACTACTAAGTTGGTTTGAGGGTGACGTTGGGGGAGGATAAAAAAGGCAGTGGCATGACTTTGGGTACCTGTTGTTGACTGAAAAATTCACATGTTGAAATGCTAACATGACTGTATTTGGAAGTAGGGCCTTTAAAGTAAGGCCTTAGTCTGCTTGGGGAGGCCAAAATAAATACATAAATAAATAGGTTCTTGGGGCTAAATCAAGTCATAAGGGTAGGGCCCCAATCCAACATGCCTGGTGTCCTTCCTTCTAAGTGAGAGAAACCAGAAAGGTGCACACATCTTTAATTAATTTAACTTAATTAAGTGAAGTAAAAAACTTCAAGGCCATGGGAGGACACAGACAAGAAAGCAGCTGTCGGGCAGTGACTGTGCTCAGTGGGTAGGGCACTGGCCCGAATACCAAGGGTGGTGGGTTCAAACCCAGCCCTGGCCAAACTGCAACAACAACAAAAAATAGCCAGACGTTGTGGCAGGCTCTTGTAGTCCCAGCTACTCAGAAGGCAGACGCAAGAGAATCGCTTAAGCCCAAGAGCTGGAGGTTGCTGGGAACTGTGACATCACAGCACTCTACCAAGGGCAACAAAGTGAAACTCTGCCTCTAAAAAAAAGAAAGAGAGAGAGAGAAAATCATAAATATGAACTTACTTGACTTTATTATCTATTTTAGGTTATATAAAACAAAATGTTTTTATTTTTGTTCATAATTTGCTTTTTGAGACAGAGCCTCACTTTGTTGCCCTTGGTAGAGGGCCATGGCATCATAGCCCACAATAACCTCAAACTCTTGGGCACAAGAAATTCTCTTGCCTCAGCCTCCCAAGGATCTGGGACTATAGGCGCCTGCCACAACACTCAGCTAATTTTTTCTATTTTTAGTAGAGATGGAGTCTCACTCTTGTTCAGGCTGGTCTTGAACTCCTAAATCAGGCAATCCATCACGTCAGCCTCCCAGAGTGCGAGGATTACAGGTGGGAACCACTGTGCCCGGCCTCCATAATTTTTTTGAATGTGATATTTCTTGAAGCCATCTCCAGGATGATGTCCAGGCTTCCTCTTGCATGGCTCACAGCAGAAAATGGTTTCTCTCCTTCCACCTTTCTCACTTCTTCTGGGGGCAAACCATGCAATCTTTTGTTGATTTTTTTTTCATTTTTCATTATAAAATGCACCATTCCATTTAGCCTTTCCTGTATCAGAAGATGATGGTCTTTCAGTCTTTTTTGAATTTCTGTTCCTCACATTGCTCACAAGTTGTGATAATTCTCCTGTAAGAAAGGTGTGTCTGGCTCAGCGCCTGTGGCTCAAGCGGCTAAGGCGCCAGCCACATACACCTAAGGTGGCGGGTTCGAATCCCCAGCCTGGGCCCACCAAACAACGATGGCTGCAACCAAAAAATGGCCAGGCGTTGTGGCAGGTGCCTGTAGTCCCAGCTACTTGGGAGGCTGAGGCAGGAGACTCGCTTGAGCCCAGGAGTTGGAGGTTGCTGTGAGCGTGATGCCATGGCACTCTACCCAGGGGGATAGCTTGGGGCTCCGTCAAAAAAAAAAAAAAAAAAGAAAGGTGTGTCTGCACTTTTTCTCTACTCTCCTTCTTACCTAATGAGCAAAGGATGTAGCTGTTCATGACTACAATGTCCATCAGCCAGAATTTTTTCCACCATTTGTAGGACCTCCTTGCATAACATCCACAGTACCGACTAGCTCTGCCTACTCTTCCCATAAACTTCTTGTGTATTCCAAAATAACTGCCAGCTGTTTCTTCCTATAACCAGTGATCAACTATGCTTGAGGCCCAAAGAACATACTCAGTATTATCACCAACCTCTTGTCATGGAATGAGAGGCATATCATTTAATCACATTGTTAGGCACATAATTCATTTTTTTCCTTTTGTTTCTAGGGCACATAATTCATATTCCTGAAATTTCTTCTTTTTATTATCACTTGGAAAACCCTTCCTGGAAGCCATTTTTGTTCCTGTTATATGTGTTTTCATTTTATGTAATTCCCAAGCTCCAGATGTCTTCCAACAAAGGAGCAGAAGGAATAGGAAAATCATTACATTGGAAGAGGTCAGACACAGGATCAACAAGAGTTTCAAGGCCACCTAAAATATCATGTCTTCCAAAGAGCTTTCCCTGACTCTCTCAGCTAAATAGATAACAGAACAATGGCTTCTTTCTCTGAGCAATTATTCCACAGTGCCTAGTCCAGTGCTCTGCACTCACGGCTCACTTAGCACCGGAGCACTGACAGCAGAGAGGAATAGCAGTCTAAAGCATGTCAAAGTACAATACTGGCATGCAATTCTGATGCCAGCTACCTAGGGTTAGTGCACACTCTACAAGTTTAAGAACACAGTCCCCAATAAGCACTTCAGATGCCAGTCACAGCCTGGGGATTCCCAGGCCACCTGCACTTCTGACCAACTGGCTACAAATTCAGGGATTCTCACAACCCCATCAGGTTCAGTAATTTGCTAGAATGACTAGAAACACAGACGTCAGAAAAACACCATACTTATGATCAGAGTTTTATTATAAAGGATACAAATCAGGACCAGCCAAATGCAATGTAAAGTGAGGTCTGGGTGTGTCCCAAATGCAGGCCTTTGCCCATAGAATCAGGACAGTCACTCTACCAGCACATTTATGTGTTCACTAACAGGAAGGTGACCAGAACCTCAATGTTAAGAGTTATCAGTTTCAGGCAGCACCTGTAGCACAGTGAGTAGGGTGCCAGCCCCATATACTGAGGGTGGCGAGTTCGAACTTGGCCCCAGCCAAACTGCAACAAAAAAATAGCTGGGCGTCTGTAGTCCCAGCTACTTGGGAGGCTGAGGCAAGAGAATCGGCTAAGCCCAAGAGCTAGAGATTGCCATGAGCTGTGAAGCCATGGCACTCTATCAAGGGCGATGAAGTGAGACTGTCTCTAAAAAAAAAATTATCAGTTTCAATATGTAAGCCTGATTGATTAAAATTGTGGGCCATGTGGTTGAACTTAATCTCTAGTCCCTCTTCCCTCCCTAGAGAGCAAGCTGCTATCACTCAGCTCAAAGTCTTATCATATGGTTGATCTTGCTGGGATGGTCAGCTTCCATCTTTCATCAAATCTTAACATAAACTCAAGTGTAGTCTGAGATCAAATTTGAATATAAACTTAGATATGATTTGAGGTCAAATATCAATATAAATTCAGGTATAGTTTTAGGGACCCACCATAAATAAGACAGACACATCTAACATTTGAGAAATTCCAAGCATTTAGTTTCCCTCTCAGTAACTGAGGACAAAGGCTAGGCAGATTCTTTATTATACAGTCAAGGAGAGCGTTTGTACTAAAAATCTTTTTTTTTTTTTTTTTTGAGACAGAGTCTCACTCGGTTACCCTTGGTAGAGTGCAATGGCATCATAGCTCACAGCAACCTCAAACTCTTGGGCTTAAACAATTCTCTTGTCTCAGCCTCCCAAATAGCTGAACTACAGGTGCCCATTGCAAGGCCCAGCTATTTTTTTGTTGCAGTTGTCATCGCTGTTTAGCTGGCCTGGGCCAGGTTCAAACCCCCCTAGCCTGGGTGTATGTAGCCTGTGGCCTACCTACTGAGCTATGGGTGCCACCCTAAAAATCTTATTTTGAAAGCAAAGATGGCCTATGTCCTAGGACATGGGAAGTAGACCAAGTGTTCCTCATTAACCTGGTCTGCTCTGCTCCCAACTTGGTTCACTTTCCCAGCCTTCGCCAAAGGGGCACCCAACCAGCCATTCAGCAGACATGAAAGTTAGATACCAGGCACCCATCTGCCCCATCACTTGCTCCTCACAGTGCCCTTGAGTGTCATACAAACTACTGGGTAGCCCCCCAATAGAGGCCATGTGGCTTTGGTAAGGCAATTAGGTATCTGTTACATCCTTATCCCAGCTACCCAAGAGAACCTTTGCAAAAAATGAAGAGGTAAGAGAGGGGGATATCTACTACTTCCCACCCTGACATGTGGGAAGGGGGAATAAAAGTACCAAGACAAAAGTGTTTAGGAGCTTTTAATGCTTTAACCAAAAAAATTGCAACCTGTGTTTTCATAGCCATTGGTCCATGGTCCCATCTCTGGCAGGGCAAGAATTTGTTCCTCACCCTGGCCACAGGTGGAAGCTCAAACTCCCTCTAGCAAAGTCTTCAGAGGAGCTCCCCTTGTAGTGCTGTGCAGTGACTCTCCACACCAGAGGCAAGAATGCAAGAAGAATATGTGCCAGGCCTGTGCAAGGTGCTCACCAGTGTTATCTCGATTAATCCTCATACCTACCCCAGGGGTAGGCATCCACTACTTGTGAGGAGGAATCCTGAGGCTAACCAATTGTCCATCAGAAAGTTGACAAGTCCATCAAAGCTGAGATGAAAATCCAGGTCTTATCAGGTTAGGCACAATGGCTCAGGCCTCCAATTCCAGCACTTGGAAGGCCAAGGTGGGTGGATTGCCTGAGCTCACAAGTTTAAGACCAGCCTGAGCAAGAGTGAGACCCCCTCTCAAAAAAAAAAAAA